GCAACTGAAGTTAAATATTTTTTTTCCTCTTGAGAATAATATGTACATCTGGGAAGCGTGAAAATGCTTTACTTTGTGACACTATGGTTTTAAAATGAGTAGCAAACTCTTTACCTGTTGATTTTTACATGCTGATATACCTTATCTCATTCCAGTTTTACAGTTGAACAACCTCACTAAAGCTTGTCTTACTGGATGCAAATTATTTAATGAAGGGCTGTTAAAGTGGGAATTTTCTTATACATGAATAATTGAATTTATTACCATCACCCTGGAGGCAGAAAACATTACCAAATTTCTGAGCAATGTATTCTGAACAGTAAATTATCTAACTAGGTGGCCAAGCAGTCCCTTCAAGTAAAACATGTGTCCGTGAAGGAACAAGCTCTTCTTTTTCATTCTCTTTCACCATTCCCCTTGTATTTGTGAATTGTGTTTCTAAGCAGGATATTATCTATTGAGCTAGTATTCCAAGTGTACATATTTAGAACTTGTATGATACAAATTTAAAATTTTAGGAAATTTCAAAATATGAAGTTTACAATACCCTCTTTAAAATTTTGCCTTGTCACTCACGGTGTTTCTGTCTGGAATTAAACATTTCCTAGCCAAAACATTTTGGACATATTTCATAAAATTTCATATATCCTCAACAACTTGCGTTTGAGTTTAACTGTGCCTACTAAAAAAAGTTTACTAATGTTGTGTTTTCCCACATCATAACTTTCTGTCGTTACTTGTTTATAGTAGCATGGTTTTCACATGACAAGATTTTTGTCTTAAAGCAAATATTGTACATTTAATTTCATTAAATTCAGCAGATACATAAGTGAAAACTTATTGTGAGTTCCATGGGAGGGATTCTGGGATGAACAGGAAATGATCTCTGCCTTTAGGATTGTATGAGATTAAGGTCCATACACAAATAATCAAGATGGAATCTGTCGAGTATTACAGGAGAGGCATATAGCACACTAGAAGTATAGGGATGGGAGAAATTATTTCAGTAAGTAGAGATAGAAAGACAGGGCATTCAAAGCAGTGGAAGAAGTCAGTGAATGCAAAGGTCCTGTAGAGTATAGAGCAGGCTTGGGAATTGGTTTATAACCCAGGTCAGCCAGAATACAGGTTAAATGAAAGAGAGGAGCAGAAATTCAAATGGGGAAATTGGCTGAGGATCTTAGCCAGCAGAGTTCTTACACGACAAGTTATTTCTTAAAATAAATGGTGTACTTTTGATTCTAAAATACTTTGAACAGAGCCCAAAGGAATTTGGGCTTTATTCTTTAACAAGCCATCAAAGGTTTTTGAAAAGAAGTTCTGAGTTAATGTAATAGTAGCAGCACCATTGAGGATGTATCAGAAGGAGGAAAGATTTTACGCTGTTAGAAGATCACTTTGCTGGCCTCAATAATCAGCGCAGGACCAAACCAGTGAGGAAGAAAGTAGGGACAAATACAGTAAACATTTCAGAGGTAGAGTTGACCGTTGAATGGAGGGCAAGGGAGAAGTCCAGGATAAATCAGACATTTCAAACCTGGGTGACTGCAATATTGATGGGGTAATATTGATAGAAACAGGAAAGATAAAGGGATGAGTGGATTTTGAATGATAATGACAAACAAGTGTACAGAGGGTAATAGGTGTTTGGAGGTGAATATTTGAGAGGTGCATATTCTGAAAGTAGTGATTTCAAACTGTGTGTTTTACATTTTATTTGTATTGAGTTGTAATCTACATAAAGCAGGCTTCTCCCCTTTTAGTGTACAGTTCTATGAATTTTGAGAAGTGAATACGTTTGTCCAATCAGTACCACTGTCAAAATAAGAACAGTTCTCTGACCCTGAAGATCTCCCTGTACTCCTTTGTGGTCAGCCCATCACCCTTGTCCATCTCCTGACAAATATGAATCTCTTTTATGTCCCTCTAGAGTCCTGAGGACCACCACAAAGTAGACCTGGATGATCAAGGGGGCTGAGCACCAAGGCCTCAGCCTTCATCCTTACTTCGTCTAGGCAAATTTTACTTCTCTGTTCTCTGTTTTATATGTTGACATTTTACTCAACATTTACTTAACATTTGGGGCAGGGTGGAAAAATTACGTAGCTAAATATTCGAGAACTGTTTTTCGACAATGTTTCCACTCTGAGCCACTGTTGTCTCTTACCTGGGTTTTTGCAGGAGGCTCCGAGGTTTCTCTGCTTTGACCTTTATCCCCGACAGTCTCTCCTCCACCTAGTGGTCAGCATGATCCTTTTACAATGTAGACTTGATCTTGTCATTCTTATAGTGACCTGACGTCCTGAAAAGTGACCTGGAAGGCCCTGCTTTCTCCTTGGAATTGGCCGCTCTCCCTCTTTGCTTACTCTGTCTGCTGTCACACGGGCCTTATTTCAGTTCCTCAAACAGGTCAGCCATGTGCTCACTTTAGGGAACTTTGCCTTATCTTGAGTGTTTGTTTTTTAATTGAGGTAAAATTCACATAACATAAAACTAACCATTTTAAAGCTTCAAGTGTACAATCCACTGGTATTTAGTATGTTCACATGTGAAGCCATCACCTCTATCTAGTTGTAAAACATTTTCATCACCCTCCAATGAGACCATGTATGCATTAAATAATCACTCCCCATTGCCTCCCACTTCTTCCTCTCCCCCCGCCTCCTCCCTGCCCCTGACAACCACTAAGTTGCTTTCTATATATATGGATTTATTCTGTATGAATATTTCTGTCTGGAAATTCTGGAAATTTCATATAAATGGAATGAACATTAACCTATATGGGTGGCTGTACATTGAATCGGAATAGCGTCCTAAAATCTGTTTTTGGTAAAAAATGGCCTAGGAGATCTCTTTTGCCTGTAACACAAGTGGAGAGTAGGGATGTGACTGTATTCAGGCTATTTCCCTAAGCACCTCTTCAGTAAGGGAGAGAGCAAGAAAGTGCATTTTTAAAGAGATTTATTCACAGCTAACTCCATAGAACACTAAGACTAGGTATAATCTCATGAAACATGGGGAGTTCAGACTGGTATCTGGGCTCAAGCACGACTGCGTCCCCGCACCGACCTTCAGATGTCTGAGCAGCAGGAGCAGGATTAGCTTTAACCTTCAGTTTATAACCTCCTTTTATAGGTTTCCCGGCATGAAAGTCTTTGTTCCTAGAAGCTCAATGTTTGATTTGCTCATTTTCCTTTACATTTTTTCCATAATACTTTTTTTTTTAAAACTCAGGTGTAAGAAGCAGTTGAGACCATTGTCTTTCCAAAAAAATGTCCACTGCTCTTTTTGCCAATTTGCTGAAACTATGGAGATTCTCAGTTGTGGAGTGATGTCCATGGGTTATTTGGCAGCAAAATTGTTAAATATTTTGGAGTTCTGAAAGAAGAAATAAGTTTTGGTTGTGGTGCTTAAGCGTCCTTTCTGTTAAGTCCAGGTCTCAGAATAAGACTTAAAGATAGTTAGTGTATTTTATGAAAAGGGAACAGAATTGATAGGAACAAAGGTAAAAGTCCCCACATTTTGGAAACAGAGAGCAAGGCCGTGGACTGATTAATGCCTCCACAGCTGGCAGTGTGAACTAGGTTATCATCAGCTTCCTGGATAACAAGAGAACAGGAATTGGTGGGCCCATTCCTTTAAGGAGCTCTGTTAACATGTGAAGAAGGTTCCCCCTTCTGTACTGGCTAGAGTGGGTTCTTCATCAGAAAAACAAGTCACCTGTTTTTATAATTTTTAAGTTCATCTCATGACCTGAGTATCTTTTTCATACTGTTTATCTAATTTTTTAAAAAGAAGCAGTGGAACAAGGGGTAATAGATGGTAGACAGAATCTCTTTGTTCCCATAGATGCTTCATAATTGTGCCTTGTAATCTATGTGTGTCCATTTCTGGCTCTCCTGCCCATTTCTGCGCGCTCTGCAGACACTGTTCAGTGCATAGTCCCCATATCCTCCCATACATAGACCCTTGCGTGTAGTAGGCCCACACTAAGGCTGGGAGTAGAGAAAATGCCAGAGGCCCTGGGAGCCAGCTATATTCAGAGAGGTTGTTCTCTCCCCTATCACAAAGCACTTGAGAAAATTAATTCCTGTAATACAGAAAAATCTCCTTAAACACTGTAGTTATGATGATTCTGGGGTAATTATATAGAAATTTATCCTTTTTCTATATTTGTTGTTGCTCTTCTCTGAGACATAGACTGAAGTTTCAGTTGCTGGAGTTTCAATGAGAGGAGTTACAGGAAACATGAAATGTGATGCACTGTGACTTTTTGTCTTGAGGGATCTTTCTTTAACAGAAGCAGACCTTGGGAAGATTTGTTGCAAGATAGCCATATACTAATAGGTAGAAACAGAAATGGCTATGAAAACCAGATGTTTTGTCTGGGCCTGTCTTCAGAAACAGGATTTCAGTGTTGGCATGTATCATTTTTCTCTTGTTTACCCACACTGATTAAAGGGCATTTATCCAGTGGTGTGCACAATTGCTGTGTGCAGTACTCATTTGCATGCCATCATGGTTTCTACACAACATGATATTTCTGTTGGCAATTTAAGTTTATTACTTCAGAAATTGTCATATTGGTAATCCAGGATGTGAGCAATATTTATTTTTATTTAAAATTACTAGGGGGATTTGTTAGACAATACCTAGTTTCCTGACATTGGCGAGAGGCTCTGCAGACTTTCCCCCTATTTTCAAGGACATATTTGTATTACACATACATCTTAGCTTGTTATTATTGTAGGGTTTTATTTGCTTTAATTTAGAAAATTCCAGGCTTATTTTATTTTGTCTTTACAAGACTCTATAAACTCCTCTCCTTTGAAAATATCCAGAAGATCTTATTTGTGGTTCTGATCCTAGACTGATTTGGTTTGTTTTAGTATCTAAACCATTTAAATGAGGGGAAGGAAAGAATTGATGATACAGTTTTAATTTCAGTCTGTTTTAATACTGTGCAGTCTGACTTATGTTTTGGTATATTTCCCCCGCAGGTTCACATCCAGCTTTCTGAGTGGCACCGTGCAATTTTTCTCCCACAGGCCTGGCTTGCCTATATGAACCGTGCCTATCACGCCGTTTTACAGGTAATGAAAGTGTAGAGTGGGTTGCTCTAGGGAGTGTCTCCTTCTTAACCTTAAATTTTACTACAAATACGTATTTTACTATAAAAACACTTAGGAAAATAGCAGTATCAAAAATGCGATGGTATTTTTGCTCATAAAGAAAGTGAGATACGTATATATATATAACTGCACTTTAATTTTAAATGTGACGCCCGCCCCAAGTCTGTGTTCCACCCAGACCTCCCCTTGAGCGCTATCCTTCTACGTCCTGCTGCTTTTGGAACATCTCCCCCATGTCCCAGAGGCCCCCCGTGGCAGCCCCACAGCACCTCAACTTGAGCTCATCCTCTTACCTCATACCTGTGCGCCATCACACTGGACCTGCTCGCATCTCCAGCTTTACCTCTTACCTTCCCCTGAATTTTTGGCCCTGCTCAATTTCCTTCTTTTCCCAAACTCAGCATGTCTTCCTGAATGTCCTGGCTTTTACCTACGCCGTTCCTTCTGTTGCAGGCACTGCCCCTCCCTCTGCCTGCCTCACCTCTACTTGTTGTCTAGAAGATTCTACCTGTGTGCCTTCCCTCTCCCCCACTGGATTGTGTACCTCTCCTGTGCACTTCCATAGAACCACACTTGCCCTTTGGAAGCCTTTATCATTTCAGTTATGTGTCCGAGGCCTCCTGGTTGTCTCTGCTCCTTAAAGCCAGGAGCCGTTTGCCCCTCTCTGCTGTCTCAAACCTGACATCATGTCTAAAACATAACAGGTGCTCACTAAATAAATGAATTATACTCAGTTTGACTTTTTTTATTCTAATAATATTTTAAGTTATAGTTTGTGCGTTTTTTTAATTAGGATTAATTTTTAATCAGTTTGGGAGTATTGCAACAGTTACCAATATAAGAAAAAACGAGCTCAGTCCTTTTCCCTAGCTTCGAATTCATTGTTAAGGATGACAGAAAAAAATCTGATGGTACTTGCATAATTTATGGCCTGAAGTAAGATTTTCATGAAGTCTTAGCAAGTGAGGTGTTATGGTTAAAGATAACGGCTGTCCTAAAAGATCGGGGTGATGGGGCGGGAGCGGGTGGCAGGGGCAGGGGAGTGACTAAACAGCTTGGCATTGATGTTCTCATCTTAAATTTAAACCTTGCTACCGCATGTGATTGAGTCTAGAATTTATGAAGTACTAATGCGTCTTCAGAGATTCTGATTGACTAGAACTGAGTAGGGGATCAGGAATCTCCATGTTTACCAAGCTGCCAGGTGATTTCAATTCAGTCTATCAACCCTACTCGGAGCAAAAGAGTTTTAGATGATTTCCCAAACTACACTGGAATCTGCATTTTCAAGACATCCTCTTGGAACCATTGTTTCCTTTTGCTTCGCTAACACCACTTTTTTATCCTCAGCAGCATCCAGGCACACAGTTTTGAATAGATGCATAGGTGAATTGAACGAATTGCTCATACACACACTGAACCAATTATAGTTTGTGCTCAAGAAGAGTGAGACTGCATGTCAGAGTATGCACTTTTTTGCACATTATTTTTCCCTGTGTAATTTTGCAGTGTTTACCTTCCCCAAACATTTACGGAGCACCCTTTACTGGCCAGGCCCTATGCCATGTATGTGTGGAATAGAAGGAGGAATTAAAGTGTTTCTTCCTCTCAGGGAGCAACCAGTCCAGTGCAGGAAACCTAATGTGGGCACTTGCAGCTCCAGTACAGATCTTGGATGCTTTAATAGAGGATGTACAAAGCCCTACAGGCACCTGGAGCCGGCAAGAAGAACTCCTCCTTCTCCAGAAAGACCTGAGAATTTTATTTAGCTCTTAGCATAAGGAAGGCTAAATTGAACAGGATTATAGTATTGCGCATATAAATGACAAACAGTTGATTTTAAAAAACCCTCCATGGTTGTTGGGTTTTTGTTTTTTTTAAATAAGAGCTACCATTTGTTGAATAACTAATGTGTGTCCAACACTTAACGTATATTATTTCAATTAATCTTTACAGAAGCCCTTTGAAATGGGTGTTGTTAACCTCACGTGTAACAGGATTGTAGATGGGGAAGCAAGGTTAGCTAGGAAAGCAAAGCAAACAGTACAAAATCAACGAGAGAACTAGAACTTAACCTGCTTTTGTCTGACTCCAGAGCCTCAGCCTTTTCCACTGTTCATGCACTTTCCCTAATACTGTCATTAGTTGTAACAACAAATAATGCCAACTGGTTTAATATTTAAGAAGACAGATCTATTCATAAAAAGTCTGCTGAGTATTTTTGGTGATACAGGTCAGTTATTCTGCCTTTCTACTATTGTGGGTGATAGTGTCTGTCTTTATCACATAAAATCTCTTTCCTTTGATTTCTAATAAGTCTAGTTCCATTGGGAATTGGTGATTAAGAAGTGAAACTCAAAGTATAGATAGACTATAATAAGAAGATTTTCAATATTACTTGAAAGTCCAGCAATGCTTTTTAGGCTATCACTATTATTTGAAAATATGCTGGTGCATTTTTACTGTTCATCAAGTCTTTTTTTAAATGAGCCCACACACTTAAATAGAATTTATGGCATCTTAGAAGAATTAGAGCAACTGCCAGACTTCTCGTCTATATGAAGAATTTCTCTCCCGGAAGATAACTCTTCTGTGCAGGAATTATAGTTAGTTCCATCTGGTGCTAGACATATTTTGTAGCATTAAACTAGAGGATCGTTTAGAGGAGCCATGTTTTATTCAGTAAGCCAAGGAGATATGCTAAAAGGTACATTCTACATTATTTCCCGGAGGTTGATTATAATGTGAATAAGTTTGAGATGTGAACACTTCTAGTGCCTTTTGCTTGGGCGTCAGCTTCCAGCCTTATCTAATTTTTCCACGAGAATGTGGGGCTTTGAATTACAAGCATATCAAAGTGGTT